TAGGATGAGAGTTATGTAGTAATTTTGATTTTTTAAGGAGCTATATAAACACTGAACTATCTTAAAATTTAAAACCGTAAATATAACTTAATTATTTGTAATTACAAAAGACAGGACTTAGTTTCAGATTTCTAAAACAATAATAAAAACCATGAAGAATTAATTCAATGGAGCATGAAACAACTTCACGGCATATGGAAATAAATTTACAATGTATGATTTTCATGCCAGAATTCTTGGATTATCAGATAATGTATTTCCCTTCAGTGATTATTCAGCCTTTTCTTACAATAAGAGCTTCAGTGTGTATTTCATTACAGTGTATACTGTGTGTTGTACACCCGTCTACATATTACCTTTTCTTCTGAAAAAAGTCTGAAACTAATACTTTAAGATAGGTCAGATTTTGAATTGAGTTGGTTTATAAGAACATGTATGGATTTCCACTTCCTAAAACTGTGGATTGCATTTATAAATGGAGGTCCTAATTCCCATTAACACTAAAGCCTCTTTACATTTCTCTGACAGTGTAAAGGGGATTTTGCGTAAAGAGGGGTGTGTGTGTGGATAAATGTAATGTAATTTGTACTCCATTTAAAGCCCTTTACCCTGCCAGAGTGGCGTAAAGGGACATAGTGAAAATGAGAACCAGGCCCTGAATGTTATTTATTATGCAATGTCAAACTCCTATTTAAACACATACATACAGCTTTGTTAATGCCACCTTAAAGATGAGAATTTAAACATGCAGATATCAGAATGTCAGAGTTATGATTCCCACAGCAACCAAACTTCAGTTGTTCAGTCTCAAGTTTAGCTTGTTCTTTGCTAGAGTTCCTAGGTAGGGTTGCCAGGCATCTGTTTTTTGACCAGAACACCCACTCGAAAAGGGACCCTGGCGGCTCTGGTCAGCACGACTGACCGGGCCGTTAAAAGTCCAGTTGACAGTGCAGCAGGGCTAAGGCAGGCTACATGCAGGGCGCTCAGGGAGTGCTCCACAGCTCCCATTGGCCCGGAACAGCAGCCAATGGGAGCTGTGGGGGCGGCACCTGTGGGCACGGGCAGTGGGCACCGCACAGAGCCGTCTGGCCTCACCGCCGCCTAGGGGCCGAACATGCCAGCTGCTTCCAGGAGCAGCCCGGATCAGGGCAGTCATAGAGCCTGTTTTAGCCCTGCTGCGCCACCGACTGGGAGCTGCCTGAGGTAAGCGCTGCCTGGCTAGAGCCCCCACCCTCAACCCCCTACCTGAGGTCGGAACCCCCTCTCGCACCCTAACTCCCGCCCAGATCCCGCACCCACACCCCAACCCCCTGCCCCAGGTCAGAACCCCCTCCTGCACCCCTACCCCAGCCCTGAGCCGATTCCTGGAGCCTGCACCTCACACCTCAGCCCCCTGCACCAGCTCGGAGTCCCCTCCTGCACCTCAAACTCCTCATCCCCAGCCCCACTCCAGAGTCCGCACCTCCAGCCGGAGCCCTCACCCCCTCCCACACCTCAACCCCCTGTCCCATCCCAGTGAAAGTGAGTGGGGGGGGGGGAGAGCGAGCGGCGGAGGGAGGTGGGCTGGAGTGAGTGGGGGCGGGGCCTCAGATAAGGGGTGGAATGGGGCGGGGCCTTGGGGAAGGGGCAGGGTGGGGCAAGTGTGTTCAGTTTTGTGCAATTAGAAAGTTGGCAACCCTATTCCTAGGAGGTGTAAATTCTTATCTGTAAAATCCAGGTAAGGGGTGATTAGATACGGAGATGAACCGGAAAACTACATCTGCCCCCACAAGTCCCGAATTTAAATCCAAATAAAAACGGTGTGACTTGGGGATACTTCTGCAATGAACCAAATCCCAAATACCTCTTGCATTTGGGAAAGTTCAGTTTCAATTCTAGATCTAAATTTAGAGGAAGCTCTTACAAATAGACCGAGGCAAGCAAATCCCTCTACCCGCTCAGATTGCCACTGACTTCAGTGGTGTTGTGCCGAGGTGTAGCGGTCTGCTCACATGGCTCCATTTGCAGGATCTAGCCCTTAGACATTTGGGCCAAAGCCAACAAACACAGCTAAGTTCTTATTTTCCTTGTCGGCTCTCCTGAATCCAGCCATGGTAAGCAGATGGAAGTGGGAACGCCTACATGAATAATATTGACATGTATATGAAATTTGAGAGATAATAGTAGAGTGACCAGATGTCCCGATATTTAACCCTTTGTCCCGCGTCCCGATCAATGTACGATCGGGACGCCATTTGTCCCAATATTCAGGTAAGGAGGCAAGCGGGAGGCGGGTGCTGACCCCATGGGTGCTCCGGGGCTGGAGCACCCACGGGGAAAAATTGCAGCCAAGCTCCCCCCTCCTCGCCTCCTTCTCCCCCCCTTCCCTCTAGGGTGCCGCGTCCCCACTCCTCCCCCCGTCCAGCGCTTCCTGACGCCTAACAGCTGTTTGGCGGCGCTTAGCACTTTCCAGGAGGGATGGGGGAGGAGCGGGGATTTGGCGTGCTCAGGGGAGGAGGCAGAGAAGAGGCAGGGCAGGGGTGGGGAATTGGGGAAGGGGGTGGAATGGGGGTGGGGCGAGGGTGGTGCAGGGGCGGAAAGAGGCGGGGGTGGGCGAGCACCCACCCGGCAGAGGGGAAGTCGGCATTGTAGGGTTGAGTGGCGGGCGGGGGAGTGAAGAGGCGAGTGGCAGGCGAGCGGGCGGGGAGGCGAGCGGTGGGACACAGGTGAGGAGGGACGCAGCAAGCCAGTGGCAGGCCGGGGGATGAGGAAGGGCATGGTGGGGGGGCCAAGTGGGGAGAGGGCGGGACCTGGGGCAGAGTGGGGGTGGAGCCTGGGAGGAGCGGGGGTGGACTGTGGACAGGGCTGATGGCACCCCAGTGTGTCCCGATATTTTAGTGTGGTGATCTGGTCACCCTAGATAATAGAGTAGTTTCCTTAAATCACTCAGATATTAGCAGTTTGGTGGAATAAACTATAAGGGAGAATTAAGAATCTGGATTATTTTTGTACTCAACCAGATTACAAACTGATTCCTAATGAAGGTTTTTAAAAAAAATCAGATTATCTACATTTTTATTTTGTTTCTAAATGCCTTCCATTATATAGCACTCAGGTCAAATATTTTTCCCAAGACATGACATCCATGTGAACAGACACAGAGGGAATGATCCTGCTCCCATAAATGTCAATGTATATTTTTCCATTAATTGCTATGGGAGCTGGATTGAGCTCAAAGAGATCTACTTGTTTGTACTGGATAACTATTTGTTGTTTAAGCTAGTTGATCAAGTTACAGTAAAATAAAATAAAAAAAGATTCCTTTAAAAATACGAACCTTCCTGTTTTCCAGCTTTTTAAAATGTGTTTTGCATATTTTGCACAATGAAATATATTTGTCTGCTCATCAAAGCTACAGTACATACCTTCTTATCTAGTGTTTCTGATTGGATCCAAACTTTATCTCACAGAGTTGACTATTACATTTCTTAATATCACTGTGCTGCAAGGAATTACTCTCCTTGGTGAAGGAGAAATTGGTCATGAAGAAGAAGAAAAAGAGACTGATCACTGCTGCTCCAGATATTACATCTCAGAAACACAGAATGAATTGTAGAGTGGTTTTCTGGCTTACCTCATTGGTTGAACACCTGATATCTGATCAGTTATAGCTTTGACAATGAAAATGGGAATGAATTCCAGTGATTACAGAGAGATAATTCTGATGCCCACATGGAAAAAGTAGAAAAAACAAAACTGAGCTTTGGAAGATATTCTGTCCAGAAGCTTATAAAAATGATAGCCATTTCCTTATTCTCTCATGTAATTAATTTTGCTAAAGTTAAAAAAAAAAGTGGTGATATTTTGCTAAAATAGAGCTCACGTTAGGACTTTGGAAAAAGCCTTAGCTAATGTATAGTTAGATAAACATCACGGCAAAAATGTGTATATATATTACAAGATGGGGATGCATTGGTTCGAAGTAACGGAAGAGGAGAAGGACCTAGGGGTCCTTGTAGACCGCAGGATGACTATGAGTC